ATCACGGCATGAATTTTTTGACCCTAGAATACAAACAATAAATTTATATAAGATTGTTATACATTAGAACCCTAAGTAAAAAATTAAAGATGCGTAAAATTAAAGATTTCAATACTCTAATCTGTGAAAATACCTTTCCATCTACTAAAATCAGATCGAGTGAGTTGTAAGGAGGATTAGTACACGTAAATTTTCTCAGAATCTTGACTCTTATTTTCCATTCTGTATGAATGGATTCAAAGTAGCCAAATCATAAAAAGAATCTTTTTTCCCTATTTTTTTCTTGATAGCATTAGAAAGTAGGTTAGCCATCTTAATATTTTGAAGTCTCCAATACAAATTCTTAAACTGAATATCTCGATATAAATAGATTTCGGCATGATAAAATATATGTATATTTTACTTTTATTTACGTGCCAAATATTCTCATATATTTTAATTTTGATATTAATTTTGGTTTTAGAGTGATAATAATTATCACATAAATTTTATTGAAAATACTTATTATTGATTGGAGGAGATAAACAACACACATCTTACATAATCACGAGACGAAAAATACTGAACGAAATTAAACTATAGAAAATAGATCATTAATCCTCATCTGAGCTGTCATCTTGAGGATTATACTCTGGTTCTTCACCCCTGTGTAAAATTGAATTGAAAAATAATTATAAACATAGCGATAACTTATTACATGTCAAACTTACAGCAGGGTTTCCATGTTCATTTCCATGAACTCATGATTAAGGAAAATTCTTGAACAGCCATATTGAGAAAAGAGAGATGGAATACCTATGTAAATTATAGAACAATGAGTAGCTAAGTTTTGGTATGGATACACAATTATACACACAACATGTGAATTAAATTTATCGAAAAAGTTGTAATAATGTAAGAATATCAGTACTAACCTTCGTACACAGAGATCCTCCAAAAACGCAAAACACACATAATAGGACTTTCGGCATCATCATCATACTCATAAAGAACTTGCTCCCAGTTGTTTTCAAATTCTATGGCGGATTTTCCCACCGCAACACAGGTTATTTCTTTTTTACTGATCATGAAGATTAAAATGTATTGTTAATATAAGAGAACTTTTTAGTAAATCCAAACATATAGGCAACTCAAAATATGCTTACGTTTCATCTGTAAGGGTGAAGGTCACTACGCTTTCGGTATTAGAGTAGCCATTCTGTTCATCTATAAATGTTACTTCACGAAGCTGTGAAACATTAGAGACAATACCGCTAACATCTGTTTCCAATTTAAAAGAAAATATTTAAGAAATTTTTAATTTGAAATATTCCAAACATGTAAATG